GCATCTGCCCCTTGGTGGTCAGTGCACGTCATAGCGACTGGTCGTTCTGCCTTCGGTCGATTTGCATATTAGCCTTTTATTATATAGAATACTGCTTTTTTACATTATACATTCTTTTTAATATTCTAAACTTTAAAAAAATTTATTGGAATGACAGTTAATAAAATTATATATGTTTCAGGTGTACAGTTCTATAATACATCATTTGTATAGTGTATTGTGTCTGTATTGTTCACCATCCCAAGTCAAGTCTCTTTCCATTACCTTTTATCCTCTCTATGCCCTCTTCTACCTCCCCCCACCCCTTCAAACTTTTAAATTAAATCTATATTTATAATATTTTTTTTTCATGAGAACAATTTGGAAATTACTTTTATATAGTAATGTATATGAAAATGGTTTTACCTTTAAATGATAGCTGTTGTTATGGAATTGTTTTTTCCCCCCTCAGGTGTGATAATGGTATAATACTTAGTTAAGAGAAATTCTTCATCATAACAGATGTATTTTGGAATAAAATATTTAGGGATCAAGTGTCATGATATCTATAAGTCATTTTTATTTTTTCTATTCAGAATATTGATATAGCAATTAATTATACAAACACACCTAAAAATAACCTAACATAAATTCTATTAATGATGAAATACTGTTTTCTCTCACTGTCATCTATGCTATCCTATATAATAAAAGCCTAATATGCTAAGTATCTGGTCATCCGTTCAACCAATCAAAGCGTAATATGCTAATGATATGCTAAGGCCGCTAAGTGTCTGGTCATCCGTTCAACCAATCAAAGCGTAATATGCTAGTGATATGCTAAGGCCGCTTAACTGCTCGCTATGATGTGCACTGACCACCAGGGGGCAAGACAGTTGACAGGTCGACTAGTCGCTATGACGTGCACTGACCATGGCTAGGGTCTGACCGATTGGGACTGAGCGAGACGGGCTGGACACATCCTGGAGCTCTCCTGTGGTCCCTCCCTGGCTGGCCAACCTACTGTATTCCTCCCCGGCCCCAATCGTGCACTGTTGGGGTCCCTTGGCCTGGCCTGCACCCTCTTGCATTCAGCCCAATGGTGGAATGACTGGTCGCTATGATGCTCACTGACCACCAGGGGGCAGATGCTCAACACAGGAGCTGCCTCCTGGTGGTCAGTGTGCTCCCACAGGGGGAGCGCTGCTCAGCCAGCAGCTGGGCTCATGGCTGACGAGTGCAGCATTGGCGGTGGGAGCCTCTTTCACCTCCATGGCATCAGTAAGGATGTTTGACTGACGGCTTAGGCCCACTCCCTTAAGCTGTCAGTCGGACATCCCCCGAGGGCTCCTGGACTGCGAGAGGGTGCAGGCTGGGCTGAGGGACCCCTTCCCTGCAGTGCACTAATTTCGTGTACTGAGCCTCTAGTATTTAATAATATGCCACAGAATATAAGCAAATACTTTCATTTGATGTTGAAAGTAATTGTGATATCAGCAGTCAGCAAAATAACATCAAATTTATATATGAAGAGCACATCATAAGAGATTTCATGCATCAGGCCTCTAGTATTGCAATGATTATTCAAAGTCTTCACATGTATCTTCAACATCAGTGTCTTTGTCATTACTAGAGCCATTTTTGAGGTATCTAACTCAGTGTTTTTAATTTAAAAAATTTTAGTTACTGTTGACATGCAATATTATTTCAGGTGTACTAGTATATCATAGTGATTAGATATTTACATATCTTATGAAGCGATTACCCAATAAGTTTAGAATCGATCTGACTCCATGCATAGTTATTTCAGTGTTGTTGACTTTATTCCCTATGCTGTACTTTACATCCCTGTGACTTTTTATAACTGGCAATTTGTACATCTTAATCGGTTCCCCTTTTTCACTCATCCCTAAGTTCCCCTCCCATCTGGCAACCATCAAATGTTCTTTGCATACATGTAACTCATTTTTAATTGGCTCAGTGAAGCCTAGCAGCTGAGATACAGGAGAAGGGAGCAGGGGTGGGGGGTGCGACAAACATGGTACACTGTTAAGTTTTGGTGAATATTAGTGAAGTTCATAGAGATATTCTATGATTTTTTTACAATTTTTATAGTTTCGAAAATAAAAATCCAAGGTAAAAGATTTTATACTCTTGAGTTTATATTATTTTATTGTTTATTTTAAACAATTTATCTTTATCGTTGAAAGTATTACAGATTTCCGCTTTGTTTTTTCCCCTCCATTGACCCCCCTCCTCTGCGTACCTGTCCCTGCCAAGCCTCTGCCACACTATTATCTGTGTCCATGGGCTAGGTATATATGCATATAAGTTCCCTGGTTAGTCTCTCCTCCCACTCCATTGCCCCCCCGCCCCCCCTCTGAAATTCATCAGTCTGTTCATGGTTCTATGTCTCTGGATCTATTTTGTTCATTAGTTTATTTTGGATCTGGAGAGTATTACGCTAAGGAAATAAGCCAATCAAAGAAAGATAAGTATCACATGATCTCACTCATATGTGGAATCTAATGAACAAAATAAATTGAGTTTATATTATTAATGTAATGAAAATTCAGAAGAGTTCACAAAACTCACGTTTAACCCAAGATATAATGTATTTATGTCTCATCATTAATAAGCAAGGTGATTTTTTTAAGTTTATATCCTAGTAAGATTAAATTATTTCTTTCTCTTTCATGGCAATAGATTTGCAAGTAACTAATCTTATATATTACTAGGAATTACATTATATAGTTAGTTCCAGTGTTAATTATCTTGAATTAACCCTCAGCATACTAAATGCTCCTGTTCCATATATATATACACACTAGAGGCCCGGTGCACAAAATTCGTGCGCTGTGCTGGGGGGGGGTGTCCCTCAGCCCAGCCTGCACCCTCTCCAATCTGAAACCCCTTGGGGGATGTCTGACTGCCTGTAGATAGGGCCCTAGCTGGTTGCTCAGTGGTTGCCTCTAGTATTTAATAATATGCCACAGAATATAAGCAAATATTTTCATTTGATGTTTAAAAAATTTGTGATATCAGCAGTCAGCAAAATAACATCAAATTTATATATGAAGAGCACATCATAAGAGATTTCATGCATCAGGCCTCTAGTATTGCAATGATTATTCAAAGTCTTCACATGTATCTTCAACATCAGTGTCTTTGTCATTACCTGCAGGCCCGGTCGCCCCCAACTGCCCTCCCCTGCCATCCCGGTTGCCCTGAACTGCCCTCTCCTGCTGGCCTGGTTGCCCCGAACTGCCCTCCCCTGCCAGCCTGGTTGCCTCCAACTGCCCTCCCCTGCATGCCTGGTCACCCCTAACTGCCCTCCCCTGCTGGCCTGATTGCCCACAACTGCCCTCCCCTGCCGGCCATCTTGTGCCCACATGGGGGTGGTCATCTTGTGTGAGGATGTGATGGTCAATTTGCATATTACTGCTTTATTATATAGGATATTTTTGTCACCTGTGTCCTTGACCAGAATTGAATCCACGACTCTTCGGTCTGCAGTTCAATGCTCTAGCCACTGAGCAACCGGCTAGGGCCCTCATATATTTTTATATCCAGCTTTACATGAATTTGGGCAAAAAGGTCTTTTTTTGGTTGTCAATCCTCACCTGAGGACATTTTGTCCATTGACTTTTACTTTAGAGAGAGTGGAAGGGTGGTGGGAGAGAGGTAGAGAGAGAGAGAAAGGCATCAGTGTGAGAAAGCATGTGCCCTGACGGGGATGGGGATTGTACCTGCAATCCTTGACTAGAAATTGAACCTCAGACCCTATAACCGATGAGCTATTCCAGCCAGGGCATGGTCAAAAAGGTCTTTATGATAGGTTATCATCTTAAGTGTTTTTATGTGCTTTTTTAATCTCTTGTTTTCTGCATAAAGTAGTGATTAAATATTTTTTGCAAATAAATTTCCAGTGGGAAAACCAGCTTTGAAGCCATCTTTCAAGATGCTGTTTGATTTCTTAAACATTTTCTTCTATGTGTAATTTCCATTAGTAGTCACTAAATGTCTGGTTTGCACAATTACAACAATGTGTAAGGAAAAAATAACCCTGAGGTTTATTAATTCGGATTGTGATTCAGGAATTGCAGCTATAACTAACTTAAGCAGATTGAATGAGGATTTGTCATCTCATAATGTTATTTTGACATTACATAATAACCTTTCTATAGTAGTACCTTTAATTTTTAAATTCCTCATAGGCACTATTGATGTGATTGGGTAATAGAGAGATGTCAGTTTTATGGCTCCAAAGATCTACACATTTTGTAAATATATTTCAGTTATATTTTTGCAGTAAAGAGAGCAGGAAGATAATGTTTCCATTAAAGTGATCAACTACATATATATAGAAATTCAGTAGGAACATGTGTGAGAAAGCTTTTAGATGAAATCCTTTTTTCATGTATAAATTGTCTCTGCTGCATATATAACTGTCTCATAAGGCTCTGGGGTAATTCAGCAAGTACAGCTTTGGAAATTGTGTTTGTATGTGATCTTAAAGAAGGAAGTGTATAAATTGCTTTATAAGTCTATCTGCTGCTTTGCTGTTATATTGCATTAATCCACTTTTTTCCATATCCTGGCCTTTTTTTTTTTCTCCTGTTTTCTTAAACAGTAGATTAAAACTTTAATTTCCCCTACTTCAGATCTGGTTTATTTTCCATTCTTAAAACAGTTACTATAAGTTAAAAAACACACAAACTCATTTCTACCTTCTTGCTACTTGGAACAATATGTCTTCATACATTAGTATTTCAATAGTAAATATTGACTAAAATTGAATCCCAGGCAAAGCTTAATTATTTTTTAAATACTTTCAGTATGACCTGGTTTTAATAAATTTTATATCCTAGTGAAATACATTTTTAATCATGCACTATCCTGTAATAAATATTTTAAGAAATTTTATGTGGAAATTAAAAAAAAGCAATACATTCTTCTTGATGCATTATTTTCCTTTGTTAACATACTCCTAAGTACTTCTGTATCTTAGAAATACATGGGGTTTTTTGTTTGTTTCTTTCCTGTACCTATCAGTTCTGATTACCTTCTTTTTGTTTTTTCTCTCCTGACTTTTCATCTGATTCCACAGATTTCTTCCTCTGATGCTCCCCTTCAGCCTTTGGTAGCCTCTCCTTCTCTACAAGCTGCAGTTGAGAAAAGCAAATTGGAGGTATGCTAGTATTTTAGCCAGGTACATTATGTAGTGTTCAGTGGTAAATGAACTTCCTTTCTCATTATGCCATACATAATTTGGAGTGCTGTAATAGTTGTTTAAATTTTGTATGGTCTTCAGTATTAAATATGTTAAATATAACTATTTCTAGAATATTTTCCTATGCCACAGGTAGGATTAAAGGGCTTTAATCTATATTTAATTAAAAAATCACTGATTTATTTGTACCATAGGTATATCTCAGTATTTAAGAAGGAATTAACCTTCTTTTGTTTCCATTACTGCCTTATACTTAACGTTTTTAATAGTGGCTGTTGAAATCTTTGATATATTAGTAAAATCTGATTAAAATGTTTTGTTTCTATGATTCTGTTGTTATAATCACTTGAAGACAGTTAATGTTTTTTTTAAGCATTTGTAACAGTCATGTATGTAGTATAGAATCATGAGTGTACAATAATCAATGATAATTTTTAGACTGTGTTTGGGGTAGCAGTGGTTAAGGGTACATGATGCTACCCCGTTATGGATTTTTAAATCCATCCCTACACGTATTTGAGGTTTAAAAAAATTTTACTCTACTTTTTTCATTTGTTATCATGAATTCATTTGAGACATTGTTTGAATTAACACTTTTTCTGTGTCTACACCTTGATAAGTGGTCCACTAGACCTGGAGGATACACAGGCAAATAAGATATGGCCCCTGACCTCAAGGAGCTTGTAGTCCAATGGTGAAAAATAGATAGCTAGGTAACTTTACAGGTTTCTAATACAATATAATGTGTGCTGTGATTGACATGCATTCATTGTGCTGCAGTTAATACAGGAGTCATACTTTTGATGCATCTTAAACTCTTAATAAACATTAGCTACAAGGATGAGAGTACATTCCAAGTAGAGAAAGCATCTTGTGGGGGAAAAATCTGTCAGCAAAGTGGAATGTTTGGGGATTTGCAAATAAAATGACATGGCTGGAACATGCATAGGATAGGGACAGAAGTCAGAGAGGAGTCTTCTTGTGAGCCTGCTGAAGGTAATTGATGTTCATTCCGAAGGCTCTGGCACTTTAATAAGTTCTAAGGATAAAAGGGGTAACCGGATCTGATTTTTATGTCATAACACAGCTCCACTGTTTCTGTGGAGAGTAAATTTTGTGTTGATGGGTGTGGAAAAGGCTGAGAACCTGTTATAACCCATGAATAAAATGATGGGAGCATGTGCTAAAATGGAGGCTGAGGGAATGAAAAGGAAACTATAGTTTTAAGAGATCTTGAGAAGATAGAATCTGTGGGAATATGGAGGTACTTTGGGAAGATTTGATGACTCCCAGTTTCTGTCTTTTTTTTCATGGTTTTAAGAGATCTTGAGAAGATAGAATCTGTGGGAATTAGTAATCGATGGAATACGGAGGTACTTTGGGAAGATTTATGACTCCCAGTTTCTGTCTTTTTTTTTCATATTAGTTAAGGTATTACAAATGTGTCCTCATTCCCCCCCCCCCATTAACCCCCAACCAGTTTCTGTCTTGAGCATTTTAGTAGATGATGATGATATTGAGTGAGAAAAGGATAGAAGCTGAGGAGGAGGAACAGGTTTGAGAAGAGAAAAGGGAGATAAATTAAAAGTTGTATCTGTTGACTATGAGATGACTGTGGAACATCCAGGTGTCTAAGTAGGTGGTTGGATATACAGGTCTTTCAGTTCAGAGGAATGAGCCAACTGGAAGGGGGGGAAGGAAGGAAAAGCATTCTATAATATACTAGAGGCCCGGTGCACAGATTTGTGCACTGGTGGGGTCCCTCAGCCTGGCCTGCGCCCTCTGGCCCCGATTCCCACAGGCCAGGCTGAGGGACCCCCCTGGTGCACGAATCTGTGCACCGGGCCTGTAGTATGCATATAAGATCTTTGGTTAATCTCTTCCTGCCCTCCCCCTTCCCCTTTTCCCTCTGTGATTCATTAGTCTGTTCCATGTTTCCATGTCTGTGCATTGAGCATCTGCCCCCTGGTGGTCAGTGTGTGTCATAGCTACCAGTCAAACAGTTGAATGGTCACTTAGGCTTTTATATATATAGATATATAGATAAAGAATTTTTGCACATCTCATTTATTTTACACTTAGAAAGCAGGGATACTGTTATTTACCTCATAAAGTTAGGATTAAGTGAGTCAAAGTAGTGTTTAGCATATGATAAGGGATCAGTAAATGTTGGCTGTTGTAAGGAAGAATGATACTAAAGAACAATGCTCCACTGGATGACACTGAGTAGTGAGACTTGAGAGTTTGGTCTCTGTTGTCCCATGACCCTACCATTGATTAGCTGTGTTGCTTTGTGCCTTACTTTCCTAAGATTTTGTTTCTTTGTTTGTAAAACAGCAATAATGAGTTTTTTTCCAGACAGTTATTATAAAAATTAAATTAGAAAATAAGGTGCTTATTATATTAACTGGCCCATGGGAACTTTTATTATATCTCTTATGTTATAGCCTAGTAATTGCCAGTATTACCTTTTCTGATTTACAAATAGCAAAAATTCTTTTGTTGAAAGCGGTGTGTCAAACACCATTTTAAAGGCACAGGTGCAAACTCAACCTTTAGGCATTTAGACTAACTTTTGTGTGATTATTATTCTGCTTTACCTGGGTTCATCAGTTTATATTTTTGTGTCTACTACTAGGAAACTAAGGTTAGATCAGTACCCAGTTGCAGTAGTCATTCAATTCTAGGTTTCTACACATCTCTCTCCTCTGTAATGCCTATGAATAATACTCTTTGTTTAATCTTTATTTTTTTTTAGGATTTTTTTTGAATTAAATGTATTGGTTAATAAGATTACATAGATTTGAAGTGTACAATTTTATGATACATCATCTGTATATTGTAGCGTGTCCACCTCCCAAAGTCAAATCTACCATTTTCATATATTTGACCCCCATAATATATCCTTTTTACTCCCCCACCTCCCTTCCCTTTGGTAACCACCATACTGTTGTCTGTGTCTATGAGTTTTTGTTTTTCTTGTTTATTTGTTGCTTTCAGTTTTATATCCCACATATGAGTGAAAGCATATGGTTTTTAACTTTATTTCTTTCACTTAACATGATCTTCTCAACATTTATCCATGTTAATTTTTATTTCATTTTCCTCTTTTTGGCATGTTTGTAGTCCTTAAGTTTTTAATATTATATCCTGTTTCATCCATCTTGAAATTGCAAATTGTGAACATCATGATACCATTATAGTTTACCTTGACTGTTGGAATACACTAACTAGTAAGCTGGCTCTGGTCCCAAAATACTGTACCTATATTTACCTTTTATTTTCCACGAGAAAATAATTGTGTTTGCCATTTTAAAAATCACAATACTGTAGTGATAGACTGAAAATATTTTGTGACATCTTAAAAAGTGATTGTACTGTACCTTTCCCCTTTATATTTACATGTTATAATCTGCCTTTATCTGTGAGATAGGAATTGTATTCATCAGTTAGTTTATTTTTTCTTATTCAATTTTGAACTTTATGGTGCTATTAGGAAGCTTTTGTAAAGATGCAGTGAGACTTTATTGAATAGAGGTCTCATTTGTTTAATTACACAAATTCTAAAATATCAAGTCTCACCTCCATTTTAGTTTTTTTAAGAAAAGATATATTTTTAAGAAATATATATTTTTATTGATTTCAGAGAGGAAGGGAGAGGTAGAGATAGAAACAATATGAGTGAGAATCATTGATTGGCTGCCTCCTGCATACCCCCTATCTGACCAGAATTGAACTTTGACCTCCTGGTTCATAGGTCAGTGCTCAACTACTGAGCAATACCAGCTGGGCAAGAAATTATATTGTTAAAAAAAATTTTTTTTATTGATATGAGAGAGAGGGGGACATTGATTTATTGTTCCACTAATTTATGAATTCATTGGTTGCTTCTTCTATGTATCCTGACCGCAGATTGGACCTGCAACCTTGCAGTATCGGGATGACACTCTAACCAACTGATCTAACTCTGAGGGCCAAGAAAAGATGTTTTTTATTCATCAATATATAACCTCATTGAGAATATGAATTTGCTCTTTACTTTTATATTTCAGTATCACCAGATATTGTCATCATTGAAAATTTGTACCTTTCTCAAATGACAACTCAAACTAATAAAATGTGTTAAGAGCTGACAATTTTTAAAAAGTAAACTTAGCAAAACTTTGGGCTGTGTTTTAGAAAGAAAAGGAAAAAAAAAAAGAAGAGAAAAAGAGAGAAAAGGAACCAGAAAAGCCTGCAAAACCTCTTACAACTGAAAAGGTAAAATTTCCTTTTTTAAAAAAATCTATAAAGACTACCATCTTATTTGCATACTTATATGTGAACTAGAGGCCCGGTGCACAAATTCGTGCATGGGTGGGATCCCTTGGCCTGCCGGTGATTGGGGCTTACCGGGTCGTCTCGCCCAGTCCCAGTAGCGGCCGATCAGGGCCAGCCGGCCAGCTGGCCATGGGGAGGGACTGCAGGGAGTTTGCCAGCTGTGGGAGGTTGGCTGTGGGAATGCCCTTTCCACCAGGGGCAGCTCCTGCATTGAGCGTCTGCCCCTTGTTGGTCGGTGCGCATCATAGCTACCAGCTGGTCATCCGGTCATCTGGTGCTAACGGTTGCTTAGGCTTTTATATATATAGATGAGTTTTGGGATATTCCTAATATGCAAATAATAGTTCTTTGAACAAGTATTTGTTGAGCGATTACTATATGCTAAATATGCCTATTGATAGCTTGTTCTGTATGATTTGTAGTCAGTTATATATGTGTGGGTATAGATAATGTGAGTTCCTCAAAGACAAGTATTCCCTTATTAATGACATAAAGAATGGCATTTTAGCTTACTGGTATATGCACAGACTTCAGTAAAGTTTGAAGAATGAAAAAGACCCAATATACCTGAAAGGGCCTTCAGAAAAGACTCCATGCTTAAGGTTAGCATTTGAACTAGATTTTGAAGTGTAGGTAGATAAGGTGCAAAGGAATATATCATTTGGACTGAATACCTTGAAGGATAGGCATGGAAACTGGAAACATACAAAGTAACTATGCTTAGGAAAAGAGGACTAGAGGAGTTTGAAGATATATATCTATGATAGAAAATAGTGAAAAAGACCAAAACAGTCGATTGAGCTCAAATTGTAGAAGATCTTAAAGACAGGTTAATTCTTTATTGGAGGAAAGGCTGTGGGAAGCATTTTTACTTGCCTAAAGCAGATGATACAGCTAATTCACAAGGATTCTTTTGGAAGATTATTTGGCAGTGATCTGCAGGATAGATGTGATTAGACAAACTAGAAGTAGAGAGAACATTAGATTTTTTATAAATAATTATGGCTGCTTGGCTTTGAATGCATTTCACCATAGAACCATGGAAACATGGTAGGGGGATTGTCAGTAAAGGGAGCATTCTTGATTTTCCTGTTGAAATTTTAAAAATTGACTTTATCAGGGTATCATTTACATACTACAAAGTGTACAGTGTGAATATGTACTCGTTCTTTCTCTGTCATTTGGTAGAGTCTCTGCATTCAAAGAGTTATAAACAAGCTTTCAGTAAGTTAAGATGTACTAAGCATCCAAAGACTCCTCAATTCTTCATGTAGCAGTCAGTTCCATCCATCATCTGATTCTTCACCTGTCTTCCTAGCAGTCTCCCTCCATTGTTCATATAGTCAGACTTGTCCATTGTTACCTAAACAAACTTTCCTGCTTTAAATTGCTTTTCCAAAAATGTCCTTTCCTTTCCCCACCTCCTACCTAAAGCTTACTTATTCCGTTGTTTCCATGCAGTCCTCTAAACATCCCAACTAAATACGTTTCCTCCCTTCCTCAAAATTCTGCTATTTCCTTCAAGTACTCCTGCTGCTGCTCATGGTAGGAGCCTGTGAGAGAATACTCACACAGAGGGAAAAACTTTAGTTTCTATCAAAGTTTTGTGGTCAAGATACTGCACAGTGTATAAAAAGAAAGATTTAAAATTATAACAGGGGAAATTGAAAGAAAAATAGCACAAATAAAGAAGCTTTACTTCACATATAGGAATTTTTTCTGTATGTTCTGAGCTGATTTTTTTCAGAGGGTGTATATAATCTACACAGGAGAAATTAGTAGTAATATCAGTAAAAATACAGGGTGGGCAAAAATAGTTTTACAGTTGTGAGTACATGAAAGTTTATTCTTGTATTTTTTAATTATTGTATTATTTTGCATATGAACAACTGTAAACCTACTTTTGTCCTACCCTGTAGTAGCAGTAGTAGCCAGAATAATATCATCATAAATAATAGTTGGCTTTATTGATCATCTGTTTATACCAGGAGCTATGCCATGTGTGCAACTTTTATGTACAGTTGTATATGTACAACTTATCTAATCTAATAAAAGAGAAACATGGTAATTAGCGTACGACCGCTACCCTTTTCATTGGCTAATCAGGGTGATATGCAAATTAACTGCCAACTAAGATGGCGGTTAACCGCCAACAAAGATGGCGGTTAATTTGCATATGTAGGCACAATGCAGGGAGGCGAAAGGGAAAGCAGGAAGAAGCCCCCTGCCACTGACAGTGATTGGAAACCCAGGGGGGAGCTAAGAGCC